GCTGCCCTGGGCTGGGCCAAGCAGCCAGCCAGGCAGGTGGCCTATGGACTCACAATCAAGACCTTGTTTGACCTCAGCGTGCAGCCCCCAGTGCCTCCTGCTCTTCCTTCTCCGGAATCAAAACAAAAACAAACAATGAGCTTGGACCAGAAGAAAACAGGTGTGCTGTCCTCCAGGAGATGACACTGCATTTGTGACATGGACATGAAGCTAGCAGGGAAACAGGACACGAGTGGACGCTGCAGGGGCTGAGGACAGAAGGCAGGCAGGGGAAGTATGGATGTGTGGGGAGAGGGCTAACCTGCTCTCCCCCAGTCAGAAGGCAAAGAGCTAGAAATGATAGAAGTTGAAAAAATGGAGAGGCTCCATCCACAAACTGACATCCTTACGCTTTAGCATTTTGGAGAGGTCCCTGACAACAGATCTGCCGAATGCAATCCCTCTCCTGATTCCTGACTGCTGGTACCAAGCGTGTTGATCCAAGCAAAATGAAATCATTAACATTTCAATCTTTTCTCCATCTATCACACTTAACACCACCACCACCAACAGCATAGAGAGAGAGTGAGAGAGAGAGAGCGCAGTTGGCCTAGCGGACAGAAAGTCATGCTCCCAAGCCAAAGGTGGGTGACTCTGCTCCGTGGGCCTCAGGTCTACCTTCAATGGTTTTTGGTGAAACATTCTTTTAGGTCATGTAACCCTGATATGTCCACTTGCTGTACAGAGGTAACTCGTTGCTGTGAAGCCGAACACTGTGACACTGATGAGTCAAATGCAAGAATGGTCACCCATGGTGGAGCTCCCCGATTAAAGAAGCTTGGAAGCAGGAGTGGCATCCACTTCCACAATAGCTTGCCTCGGGAAAGGCTATGAACCTGAAGAAAGGGCAAAAGTCACACAGGTGTCCAGGACTTTTGTTCATAGGGTCGCTATGAGTTGCCTGCGACTCGACAGCACTTAACACCACCACATTATGCTGACTGCTGGGCCTGTGATGAGGCTCTTTGTCTTGGTTTTGAGATGTAATCCGTACCAAAGTCAGTGGTCCTTGATCTTCTGCAGAAAGCGTTCCATATCCTCCTCACTTTGATGCCTCTGACATGTGGTGTTGAGGAGTACTGAATACCCATCCCATGGACTGCCAAAAGAACAGACAAGGAAAGGAGGCAGCCAGAGTGCTGATGAAGCTTCATCTTAAATACTTTAGACTTATAGGTTGTTTGTTGTTACGTGCCGTCGAGTCGTTTGTGACTCATAGTGACCCTATGTACAACCGCCCTAAAGCCTGCTCTATCCTGTGCCCATCACACTGCCTCTGACACACCCATCCCGATTATCCCAGTCACTGAATCAATCCATCTCATAGAGGGTCTTCCCCTCCTGCACTGTCCCTCCACCCTACCAAGCATGATGTCCCTCTCCAAGGATCGGTCCCTCCTCACAGCATGTCCAAAGTATGTTAGACGAAGCCCCAGAATCCTTGCCTCCAAGGAGCAGCCCGGTTTAACCCTCTCCAGGATGAATCTGTTTGTTTTCCTAGCAGTCCATGGTACTCTCAATACCCTTCTCCAGCACCACAGCTCAAAAGCATCATCAATTCTCCTCCTATCCTCCTTGGTCATTGTCTAACTCTCTGATGCATAACAAGTGATTGCAAAGACTGTGGCCTGTATCAGCTGCACCTTAGTCTCCAGAGTGACACCATTGCTCTTCAGTACTTTGGAGAGATCTCTAACAGCAGACTTTCCCATGGCAATGCACCTTTTCATTCCCTGGCTATTGGTGTCAAGAGTGTTGACTGTGGAGCCAAGAAAACTAAAGTTGTGAACAATCTCAATCTCTTCACCATCCATCCTGATGCTGCCAATTGGTCCAGTGGTGAGAATCTTTGTCTTCTTGACATTGAGCCTCAATCCATATTGGAGGCTGCAGTCCTTGACCCTCTGCAGCAAGCACTTCAGGTCCTCCTCAGTTTCAGCAAGCAGGGTTGTGTCATCTGCATAACACAGATTGTTGATAGATCTTCCATCAATCCTGATGCCACACTTCTCCTCATAGAGTCCAACCTCCCGGATAATCTGTTCTGCATAGAGGTTGAAAAGGTATGGAGACAGGACACATCCCTGGCGTACGCCCTTCCCAATTTTGAACCATGCAGTGTTTCCTTGCTCTGTTCTGATGATTGCTTCTTGGTCCAAGTATAGGTTTCACATTAGCACGATCAAGTGTTCTGGGATTCCCATTCTTCTCAGAGTCAGCCACAGTTTGTTATGATCCACACAGTCAAATGCCTTTGCACAATCAATGAAACACAGATACATAGTCACCTGGCATTCCCTGCTTTCAGCTAAGATCCATCTAACATTAGCTACAATATCCCTAGTACCACGACCCCTTCTAAACCCAGCCTGGACTTCTGGCAGTTCTCTGTTGATGTGCTGTTCCAGCCGTTTTTGGATGATCTTCAATAGAATCTTGCTTGCATGTGAAATCAATGATATTGTTCTATAGTTTCCACACTCTGTTGGGTCACCCTTCTTTGGAGTGGGAACAAATATAGGTCTCTTCCAGTCAATTGGCCAAGTGGTTGACTTATAGGTAAGCAAGGCTAATCCTTGGAAAGGGACATCATGTTTGGAAAGATGGAGGGTTGGTAAAGGAGAGGAAGACCCCCCCAAAAAAATGGGTTGACACTGGCTTCAGCAATGGGCTGTAGTGTCTCAGAGATGATGAGGACGGCACAGGATAGGGCAAGGTTCAGGATGGCTGTCCATAGGGTCACTATGAGCCACATTCAACTTGAAGGCACCTAACAACAACATCCATAAAACCCAACACTCAACTAGTGGGCGTCCCAGAGAGAAGAAAACATCACAGAAGTAGTATCTGAGCCTCCTGAGGGAAACACCTGCTTCTAGTTAGAAAAATCCCCCAGGCTCTTGGCCTCATGGGGGACAAAGACCCAATTTCAGGACCAGGGGTAAGGGCAGTTCCTTGCAAGGGAAGGGCCAGGCTTTGGCTGTCACAGGGCCACCACAGATGTGAAGACAGAGCCCTTCCTTTCATTGAGGGAGAAGTTTTTAAGCTAGAATTCACCATCTATGTGGCCAGTGACCAATCACATGGGGTCTGTGGCCATTCCACATATACAAGATCCCCTATGCAGCCTCTCGGATGAAGGGGTGAGCCAAAGAGAAATGTGGGGGAGAGATCAAGAATTCTATTTAGACACTGGGTTGTCTCCACCTGTTGGCTGTCATGAATAGTGCCGAATTAGTCCTGAGGCAGAAGCCTCTGTTTGCACATGCTTTCAAATCTGCCAGGTTTGTCCCCAGAATGGACTGCTGAGCACGTGGCAAGGTTGTGTTTTATGGTGTCCACAGCAGTGGCAGCGAGGCATATAGGGACTGTCAACTGTACTGGAAGTCACCTCAGCTGGCATTGGCCCACAAACCTTTCCCAAAGGCGAAGCCAGAAGATCAACAGAGCTACTGCCTTTCCACATCTGGAACATAGGTCCTGCTGGGACAGGGCTGCCCAAAAGGGTGAGGGACCTGGGACAGGTGGCTAGAGAAGGGGTCCTTCTGCAGAGGATCCCACAGTCAGATGTCACCTGTGGTCTGTCCTCACTTTTTAAGTGACCACAGGCAGGAAGTAGGTGCGCTCAGCCTGGGGACTGGCCATGCAAGGGGCAGGTTCTAAGGGGTTCTGGGGGTGTACTGTCCTGGCTATAATCAGGGACCTCTAAGTGGGGTCTTCAGACAATGCTTCATTCTCTCGCTGTCTGGAGACTGGATGCCAGGCAGCAAAGTTGCTGGCTTGGTCCCTCCTGAGGGTATGAGGAAGAATGGCTCAGTGCTCTGTGGCCTGAGAGGGCTGCCAGCAGCCTCAGCTGGTCCGAATCCCCCTCATCACCTGTCATGGGTTCAGGGCCCCCCCACCTAGGATGACCTCAGCATAGTCTGCTCACATCTGCAAAGACCTCATGTCCAAACAAGGTGACACTGACAGGACTGGGTTAGGGTCAGTGGGTGGCCTGGTCAGAGGTAGGAAGGGCAGATGCTGCAGTGATGAGGGCGGTGGCCTGGCTCCAGTAATGGCCCAGTGAGCCCCACTCTGGAAGGCACACCCCCTCCATCCCACCCCCACCCCCGCCATGGCCCTAGGGCTTTCTGATTACCGGGACTGCATAGCTCCACTAGCCTGGGGGAATGCCAGGAGTCGTGCCAGGCTGACTCTGGGTGCCACGCTGCCAGGAAGCCCAAGCCAGCCACGAGGCAGCCGACCAGTCACCTGGTCGAGAGGTGCCAGCTGTGGAGGGGGAGGCCAGTTCTGTCTCGGGCCGCTCAAGCCCCAGGGCTGTGGCCAGTTGGGGCTTCCCTGCACCTGATTTGGTGTGGTCTGCACCACACAGCTAGCGCTGTGGCAGTCACCCCCACGTGGCCAATCCTACCTGTCTGGACCCTGAGACCACAGGCCAGACAGTTTGACCCCCTCAGGGCTCAGAGAAGGCCGCAGACTACAGGTTCTCCGCATCAGGCCTTATTGGCCGTCCGGCTGATGGGCAGAGATGGCCTCTCGGCCTTCCTCTAAGTTGCAGGCCGGGGCACCGGCTCCCAGAAGGGTTCCTCAATCGGGAAGCCATCGCCTCCTACTCAAGACAGTCCAGGCGGCCGCGGGAACAACCCGATAGCTTCCTGTCCCTTCGTCCCCTCCAGCCGACCTGTAAAGGGCAGCCCGGTCCGACCACTTGCGGCCGAAGTCACGAGATCCTCTGTCCGCGTGAAACCCACCCCAGTGGGCGCGGCTCCCAAGGGCAGGGCCCCCGGGCACGGGACACGGGTCTCCTGCGCCTGTGCGCGCCCCAACCTGTGCGCGCCCCAACCTGACCTGCGCTGCGCATGCCCAGAGGCCATAGGTTACGCGCCCCGCCCGTCGGCTTCCTCCCACCTCCTCCGCCCTGGTCCGCTCGGCCAGGCCTGTCCTGCGTGGCGTGCGTCATGGAGAAGATCGAGGGGGCGGCCGTGGGCCGCTGCGCAGACTCGCCGTACCTGCGGCCGCTCACGCTGCACTACCGCCAGGTGAGCCGGGACCCCTCACCGGCCGCGCGCCTTCCGCGCCGCCCCCACCCGCGCACCCCGAGGCGTCTCGGGCCCCGCCCCGGCTCCGCCCACTGACCACACCCACCGCTCCGCCCACCGCTCCTGTTCCTTCCCGCCCCCAGCCCAGCCCGAGCTCTACCCATGGGCACTTCGAGCTCCGCCCACTGCGCCGAGCCCAGCCTGAGGTTCACAGGCTGACCCCCCAACGCCGAGCCCCGCCCGATGACACCCCTCGCCATGCCCGAGCTCGGGACCACTGCTGCGGGTTCCTACCCCCACCCCCCGCTCCTCCACTGTCCCCAGCCCTGCCCGTCGGAGCCCCGCCCGCTGCACGGGCTCCCCGTACACACCGCGGCGCCCGGCCTGCGCTCCGCCCCTCACCTCCAGTCCCAATGCCGTCACCAGTGTGCTCTCTGTCCGCTGCCGCTCCGGACCCTGCCCCGCCTTGCTCCACAAGCTCACTGCCCTGGATGTCTGGGCACTGAATCCACTGTCCCTATCTGGCCATCCACACCAACACCCTGCCTACTGCCCCAAACCCCGCCCACATCTTGGGCCTCCTCCCACCGACTGTCCGGACCCTGCACCCTGCACGGATATTTCGTCCAATACTTGGAGATCGCGCCCACCCCCCTATGCTGTGCTCAGTGCACCAGGACACCCTTCACCTCTGCCCCACCCACTGCTCTGGGCTCATGATCCCTGATGTCCCGTCCACTGCACACACGCCCCGCCCATCGCTTTTACGCCCCGCCCACGGCACGGCCCCCTGAGGTCCCCCCCAATACCCTGGAGCCCACCACCATCTCTGCCTGCAGCATTTGTCTGTCCCCCTTGTCCCTGGTATGCGGTCCCACTGAGCACCCAGCTTGGGAAGGGACCAGCAGAGGAACACCTTAAGGGCACTGGTCATCCCTCTGAGCAGGCTTCCTGAGCCAGGCTCTCCTTGTGTCCTCTATGCCCTTTGTTGCACCCCAGGACCAGGGAAGGCTGCTCACAGGTGATAGCCTCAGAGGACTAGGATGCTTCCAAAGCTCTGGGAGCCACAGTACTAACGCAGAGCAGTGTTTCTGTGGAGGCTAGAATCCAACAGTCGCTCCACAGGAGACAGATGGACAGAAAGATGGCCACCTCCTGGGCAATGTACAGCCCCCAGAAACATGCTGGTGGGTCGGTGCAGACTCCTGGTTGAGAGGGAAAAGGGTGGTCCAAAGGGATGAAGGCCAGGAGGGATAGCACGTGGGCAGCTGGGCCCTGGTCACGGGCCCGCTTCCACTCACTGCCTGTCGGTTACAGCGCTTGCACCAGCAGGGAGCACCACTGCATGCTGTCCCGCACACTTGTGAGGTGCCACGCTAGGGGCATGGTGGGAGGTGTGCTGAAAGCTTTGAAGGGCAGCCCCCTCCCTCCTGCCCTGGGAGCCACATGGACTTCTTGGCTCCTGAGTACCATGAGAGTGTCACCTACTGCCCCATTTTCACTGCCTGCTGTGTCCACTCCTGACAGTGCCTCCTGCTGGGGCTCCCTCAGGGCCGTCCACTGTGCCTGCCCTCCTGTTCCTTTGTCCCTTGATCAGAGCACCCCAACCTTCTCTCCAGTCCCTTTGTCTGGACAGGTCCTGCTGAAGTCCCTCCTTTTCCTACTCTGGTATAGTCCTGTGGACTCTGTGTGGTCATATACCTTCAAGTGGACTCCAGCTCTTAGTGACCTCATGTCCAACAGCTGGAAGCCTTGCCTGACCCTGTGCCATCCTCAGGCCTTCACTATGCTTGTGCCGGGCTCTGGGCACTGAGGATCCATGCATGGCGTGGTCTAGAGCAGGAGGAGGCCAGTCCTGGGACTGAGGGATACCACGGGGGCGCCTACACTTTTCCCAGGCACTGGCCTGGCAGGGAGGCATATAGTGTGCATTTTAGCTGCACAGGCTGAGGCTCTGGGGACAGTGGTGGCCCCAGTGTGACCATCTCTGCCCTCTGTGGACACTCTCTGCTGGGGCATACTGACATCGGGTACTAAGCTGGTGCCAGCAAGAGATTGGCAGGTGTGCACACTAGGCTGCAGCTCCCACCCCCTGGTCAGGCGAGCCTACTGGGTGGACAGTGGATGGAGGGAACTCATAGACTGTGGGTGGGGTGTGCTCACACGACAGCCCTAGTCCCCAGAACTCTCCCAGGGAGCCTGACCACTGGGCTGAGGGGCTTGTGGGATCTTACCCTACCCCTCACCTACAAGCTGATCTTGATGCGCAGCACATGTCATGGGGTCACACTGCTGGGTCACATATTGGGTCACCGGGGCAGACTGCTGGAGAGTATGAGGGGCTAGTTTCCCTGGACCTCTCCTTGTCCTGAGTAGCTGGCTGGCAAATATCAGCAGGTCCAAGCTTGTCTGGACAGCCTGACCTGTGTGCCTGTGGACATGGGCTCCCCCTGGAAACCAAGGCCACCACCACACCTTCCCACCCAGATGCCACTACCTCCTAGCCTTCCTATTCATTCTGGAGGTGCTGCAGACTTTGTGGGACCACCTCCTCCAGGAAGCCCTCTACAAGCGCCTGTCCCTGCTGGGTCTCCCAGCCTACTTTCTACTGTTCTCGGGTCCAGATGCCCAGAGCCTAGTCCCTCTTCCACTCAGAACAGAGCCCAGGGTGGGGCCAGCTTGCCACAGCCTGGGGCTGTCCACGTGACTGGGTAACAGATGGGCTGATAGACGCTGAAGGCCCCCCCCTGACCCCACCCCACACAGGACTGGGACCCTAGGGAGACCTGGCCCAGCTCTAGCCTCATCAGCAGTTAAGTCCCTCAGGACAAGAGTGTGGCCGAGCAGAATGAACTCTACCTGTAGCAGTTCTGAACCTGGCCTCAGTGAGCCAGTGACCTCTAGGATGGTGCCTGGTCACCCAGCAGTGCTCAGTCAGTGGGATTCCAGGCCCCTCTGGCTACTACCTGCTGCAGCCCATTGTCATCTGTCCCGGTTGCCCTTAGAGGGCATTCCCTGGCCTGGATTTTCCTCTTTGCCCCCTGGGTGCCATCTGTGCCCTGTGAGGGCAGGAGGTGCACGTGGGTCCAGTTCATGGGCTGAAGTAGTTCCCACCACTGAGAAAACTGGGGTGGGGGGACACACACACCTGAGGGCTGGCCAGGGCGCCTGACTGTGGACCTTTCAACACAGTGACAGCCACACCTTTGCGGTCCTGCACAAGGTGCTGGGAGAAGGTCCTAGGGTGCCTTTTTGTCTTTTGCCCCGGACATCAGCTGTGCCTCTCCAGAGATGTAGAGGCAGGTACTCTGCCCTCAGGGATCCAGCCTGAGGATACCCCATCTGATGCCCCTCCTGGCTCCCGTGGGCCCAGCTCCTCAAGCACTCTGTGCGCTACACTAGTTGCTGCTCCATGGCGCCTGTGCCTGTTTGCAGCCCACCCTGACCACTGCCTTTGCTGACCGCTGTCCTCCCTAATCACTGCCCTTCATGACCACTGTCCTACCTGAATCTGCCCACCTGGCCAATGCCCACCCTGATCACTGCCTTGTCCCTTTCAGAATGGCACCCAGAAGTCATGGGACTTCATGAAGACACATGACAGGTGAGGGTCGGGGTAGTGGGACCTGCAAGGGGGACCCCTGACCCCAGTCGCTCTTGCCTTCCAGACCTCCAGGGGTTCGGGGTCCCTGAGGGGTCAGCCCTGAGTCCTCTAGGTTGTGCATGGCCATGCAGTGGGCAGACCCCTGGGAGTTAGCTGTCCCAGGTCCTCTGCCTGGCATCAGGTCAAAACTGGACTTGTGTGGCTCCAGGACGTGTCAGTTGAGCACCTGCCCAGGAAGTGCCACCTGTCCCATCAGTCACCAGGCTCAGCTCCCAACCTGTCACCGAGCTGAGTCCTGGCCCTGCCCGGGCCTCAGTCTCCCTCAGAGCAAGAGCTGACCTTTCCTAAGTAATGAGGAATAGGGAGCCCCACAGGCTGAAGCGGGGTGCCAGGAGCGGGTAGTGCCTGTGCTGAGCTGGTGCCCCTCTCCCACAGTGTGGCCATCCTCATGTTCAATGTGACCAGAAGGACCCTGGTGCTGGTGAAGCAGTTTCGGCCAGGTGAGGTTTTGGGGTGCAACATGGCAGGCCAGTGGTCACTGTCGGCTCATACAGGCCTCAGTGGACCTCAAGGTCTGAGCACAGATGTGAGGAGGGGCAAGGGGGAAGCTGTGGTCTCTGGAGGGGGCTGACCTGGCCAGGTCACATGGTCTGGCTGTTCCCTTCCCCCCAGCTGTGTATGCAGGTGAAGTGGAACGCTGCTTCCCGGGGTCCCTGGCTGTTGGTGACAAGGACACACCCCAGGGGCTGCAGCCAGCCTTGCCTGGCTCAGTGGGGGTGACATACGAGCTGTGTGCGGGCCTGGTGGACCAGCTCGGGCTCTCGCTGGAGGAGGTGGCCTGTAAGGAGGCCTGGGAAGAGTGTGGCTACCAGCTGGCCCCCTCTGACCTGCGCCGAATTGCCACGTACAGGTGAGTGAGGGCGCAGGGCTAGTCAGTGAGGGCCAGGGGGTGGGATGGGTTTCTAGGGAGGCAGTGGACAAAGGCAAGCAGTTCTGGAGGGCTGGAAAGAAGCCAAGGTGGAATTGGGGCTCCTAATGCTCATTCTGGAGACGCTCATTCTGGAGCGTGCGGGCCTGCACCCCACCCTGCAACCCCCAGCAACGTGGGGCCCTTCTGAGTGGCAGCTGCTGCTGACAGGTGCCTCCACTTCCTGTGGGATTAAACACAGGGCACTGGGGGTGGGGTGAGTTACATTGGTCTTGGGGTGCAGGCAGGGGGCTGAGCCCCAGCCAGGCAGGTCTGCGCACGTTTGTGTGTGTGTTTAGGGAACCAGGTTTAGGTAACAGCCCCACCAGAGCCCAGGTATACTCCCCTTAGACCCCCCTGGCTGGGGCCACCTTCCCAGGACAGAGGTGCTCACTGTACTCAGCTCTCTGCAGTGTTGTTCCCGTGCCTGGGCTACTGGGCTCCAGTTACTGATTCTTGACTCAGGTGAGCATGGGCTCCAGACACACCTGGCCCTCACTGCTGTGCTGGGCTGGCCTGGCCCTTCTGCCCACCTCTCACTGCCCAGCCTGGGGTCTCTCAGTGCAGGGTCTTGCTGGGGTGTGCCTGGTGTGGAGGGCCCGGGATGACCTCAGGCCCCTGAAAATGCAGAGTGTTCACCTGGATGCTGAATGTCTTGTGCAGTGAGTGAGGCTCAGAGACCCCATTTCTCCATGGGCGCTGAGGCATCAGGGTGTAACGTGTGGTTGGCTCTGTGGAGGGTCTTTGTGGAGGAGGTGGGCCTGAGCCGAGTACTGACAGAAGGACACGAGCCAGACGCTGGGGCCACGTGGCCAAGCAGCTGAAGGAGCAGTTGTGTGGGCAGGGTCCCGGGCCATGGCCCTTTTGAGGGCCCTAGGGAGCCATGGAGGGGTCCAAGCAGCAGGCAGCCTGTTGGAGGAGGAGAGTGGGCAGCAGACTGACAGGTGACCCCAGCCAGGCTACTTACCTGTTACGTCAGGTGACAAGATCAGGAGGCTAAAGGTGTTATCCAAGAGCCACCAGCTGAACATGTACTTGAGCTAAGGTTGTGACTTGGCTTGGGGAGGGGGCAGTGTCTGGCGCCCAGCTAGACATGTCCTACTTGGCCTGAGCTCAAGGCCAGACCATTCTCCACGAGGTACCGGAAGCCGGTCCTGGAAGGCTCACAGACCGCCACAGCATCAAAGGCTTCAGCCAGGGTCGCCACAGGAAACAGGTCATCAGGAAGGGGTCAGCGGGCAAGAAGGGGCTGCAGGCAGTGGAGGAAGCAGCTGGGGTCAGATCGCTTGGGTGGAAAGGCCTGGGCATGTGGCTGGGGGGTGCTATCTCTCCTGCTTTAGGCTCGGCACATCTCTGAGACAGCCAGCCTTCTGGGCGACCCTACCTGGACATTTCCCTGGGTGCCCTTCATGTCCCCTTCTCTCCAAACCCACACCTGGCCATCACTCTTCAAAATCCCACCCGGACCCCCGGACACTTCCCTCTTCCATTCTGCCAGCTTGGACCTATTGTCCTCCTGCTCCTTAAGCCGCTTTCCACTGGAAAAGGGGTCTCCCTCACACCTTTTTGCAGCCAGCTCAGGGATCTCGCCACCCCCTCCCCACTCGTCCCCTGCTTGGCCACCTGGGCACATACCCTTCCTCCAGCTGGGAACCTGTGTCTGGGGGCGAACTCACTGGCCAGCCTGTGCCAGGCCTCGGGCTGCCCTGCTCCCACTGTTGAGGGAGGGAGTCTGGCCTTAGCACAGATGCACAGTTCGCATCTGGCCACTGTCCCAGGCAGCAAATGGTTATGAACTTGGTGATTTGAGAAAGCATATGCTGGCTGTCCTGGTTCTTGGGGTTTGAAGATTAGGATGAGGGGCTGTGGGCTTGATTGAGACTCTAGGTCCTCCAACCACAGGCTATGGGACAGGTCTGGGGCCTTCCTTTGTGCAGCTTGGAACTCGGGGTTCTTGCCGCTGCCTCTCACAGCCTCCCTCTGAACGTGGCTGTTTGCAGTGTCTGCTTAAAGAAGCCTGCCGCCCTCTGACTAGATCTTTCCTGAGGACTTGCTTATGACAGGCCCATCCACAATAGGCCTCTGGGTTAACTCAATATCAAATGATTAGCCCTTGCTGTCAAATTGCTTCCACTTTGTGTGATGTTATTCGATGGTGGGAGGGGTTTCTCATCATCCCCCAGGTGCTCCCCCTACCAGAAGGGAAGAGGATTCTGGGAAGACTATCAGGGTGGGGACCTGGGGCATTTTAGGATCCTGCCTACCTCAGGGCTGGGAGGGCAGTGCAGAGGTGGACAGGAGATGGGGAGGGTGCTCTGGCTGCGGCCTGTGCTGAGTAGATGCTGTCTTGTCCTGCAGGTCTGGTGTGGGGCTGACCAGCTCCAAGCAGACCATGTTCTATGCAGAGGTGACTGATGCCCAGCATGGTGGCCCAGGCGGGGGCCTGGTAGAAGAGGGTGAGATCATAGACGTCGTACACCTGCCTCTGGACAGCGCCCAGGCCTTCGCAGATGACCCAGATGTCCCTAAGACCCTCGGTGTCATCTTTGGTATCTCCTGGCTTCTCAACCGAGTGGGTCCTGGCCCAAATGCCCAGTGATGCTCTGGGCTTTGGGCACATGCCCAGTCCCCTGCAGACAATAAAGGTTGTACAGCCCCAGTGTCTGCCTACTGGCCTGAACAGTGTGACCTGGACGGCGAGGACAATAGGTCTTGCTTAGATGGGCCTGAGGAGGAGGCCCCGACAGTGCCCTCAGGAAGGCCCACTTTTTTCAAGTCAGACCAGAGGATGTGGGGGCCAGAGCCTAGACATGTGCTTGAGAATGGCACAGGACAGGCCTGGCCTGCTGGTCACTGGACTGTGGGACAAACTGGCCTCAGTGTGGTGACTGAGCAGGCCCAGCAAGAGGGAAGGATTGTGGGCTCCAGGGGGAGCGTGGAGGGCTCTCTGTCCAGGGACAGGCTGGAGGGTCCTCTGCCCACACAGCTGCAGTATCTGGCCGGCTGGGCCCTGGGCATGGGGTGAGGCTCCAGTGCTGTGTCCATTGGGGCCCTAAGGCGGCTGGGGCCCAGTGCCTGATAGTCATGCTCTCTGAGTCCCCAGACACCACTTCCTAGGGTGGTCAGACATCCAGTAAAACCTGTGCCCATGTGCACGGGGCTGTGAGGAGGTAGGTGGCCACAGCCCACTCGATGCCCCGTGGGACCAGTGTGCTGGTGATGGGGCCTGGCTTGGGGTCAGGAACTTCTCAGAGTCCTCAAGCCCTCTGGTTGACTTCTTGGGGAGGCAGGGTCAGCTGGGACCAGGCTCATTGACCCTGAGGAGGAGAGGTATCAGTAGAGCTGGCTTCAGAGTGATCAGGAGCATTGCTGCGCCCTTAACTTGTGCTCTGAACCCAGTGTCCCCACAGTACAATGGTGGCCGCTAAGGCTGTTCCCACCTTTATCTGCGGCTCAGACCCCCATCAGGAGGCACCCACACGAGGCTGAGGCCTCCTGCCCTGGTGGCCCAACCTCTGTGTGCTGCTAGAACCCACACAGACCCCCAGGGCCCTCCCTCCCCAGCCTGGAGGCTGCTGAGGTGGCCTGGCCAGCAGTCAGGCTGCCCCAGAGGCACCACTCAAGCACCACCACCTGTATGCAAATGCTGCTGGAGCCAGGTGAAGCCTCCTGGGAGCCCCTTCCTGGGAGTGGTGGCCACTGGGGAAAGGGGCCCTCACAAAGGTGTGTAAGTGCCCCAGGGTGGGCTGGGCTGTAGTGTGGTCCTGGGGATCAGTTACAGGCTTGGAGCAGCCAAGCCTGCCTCTATCACAGGCCAGCCTCCAGACACCCACCATCAGAAACCCTGGGAAGGGGGCTGGGTGCTGGCTCCATACTGCTAGGAGTGGACAGAGCACCTGGACCTGGGACCAGTCCAGTCTCCTCTGCTCGTCAGCGGATGGGGAAGGTCAGGCACCATCACCGCCCGACTAATGGAGCTGGCATCGATTCCCGGCACTTGGGGGGGATGTAACCGGAAACTCCCCCCCCTTGCCTCTATATTTAGCCCCGGAGGACAGGGCGGAAACAGCTCACTCCTGAGCTCAGCTGGCCCTGTCCACACCCAGACAGGCTGCCCCCCAGTCTGGTGCCCAGGAGTCCCCCCAGGGACTGGAGGCCCCTGGCTAGCATGGCCTTGCCCTGTGCCTTGTCCAGTAAGGGCTGAGCACCCATCCCAAATAACCCCTTCCCTGGTTAGGGGGGCTGAATGGCAGCCCCCAGCCAGATGGAAGCTAAGGGGTTCTTTGACCTGGGGGGGGGTCTTCCTGAGAGAAGCCCAACCCTCCTGGCACTCAGCACCAGGGCACAAAGGCCAGAGACATCCATCCACTGATCCTTTTAGGAGAGACACACATGGGTCCCCATGGAGCTGGCTAAAGAAGTCCCTTCATTGAAGGGCCCCAGGAAGGATGAGGCCCAGGGTTTACCTTCTTCCCTGGACAGGTGTGGCCACCTTCCTGACCTTGAGCCCCATCAGGCTTGGGTGTGGCCATGGCAGGCAGGAGGGGGCATCCTGGACAGGGACACAGGAAGCCTGCTTGGCAGGTGCAGTGTCCATGGTCTTCTGGCTGCTGCCCTGCTGCCCACCCAGCTGACCTGGGCCAAGGGGCCCCAGCCTGACTCCTAAAGGACGGGGGCAGTAGATGGGACGAGGCCCTGAGGGAGGGCACTGGGTCTGGAGCTGGGGTGTCCATCACTGCTGAGTGCCTGCATCCTACACAGCTCAGAGCCTGCTGTCGTCAGTCAGACCTGTCTGCTGGGTCATTCCTGGGGCAGGAACCAGAGGAAGGAGGAGCAGGCAGGGTGGGTGCAGTTATGAGGGTCCCATCTCTGCTGCGTCCCCCTTTTAGCCATGCCCCCGGGAGAGTCCAACATCAGCCCCTCTCCCTGCACAGCAACAGAGCCCCACCCAGCCCTTCCTCATCCTGTGGTCCTGCAGCAGTCAGGTCCTGTGACTACTCCCCTGTCACCTCCTGCCTGCCCGTCTCCTCTGTGCCCCTTACCCTCCACTGGCCTGGGGCTTGAGCACATGACCTCTGCTGAGGGTGGGCCTCCCCTGGCCAACTTGCCCTTTCCTCGGGCCTCAGCAGAGCCCTCCTCACATCTGCCCATCGTGCAGGTCCTCTGTTCACCTCTGGGCTGGATGCCCTGGGGCTGTGGCTGCATGTTCACAGTTTTGCTGAATGCACTTCCCTGGTGGGTGGGCGTAGAGGCTACAATTGGGTGGACAGAGGTAGGGCCTGGGCTTAGAGCAGGGGGTGAGGGAGACCTCTCTCAGTACCTGCCTGACACTGCAGCTAGCCCGCAGCTTTATTGCCAGTCCCCTGCCCCATGGCCCTGTCATCTGTGGGAGGAGGAAGCATTGGGGGCCTTGGCACCGGCTGGAGTGTCTTTATTTGGTGGGGGTGCTATGTGTGGTGTGCCTGGCTCGTATCCTGCCTTCACCTCGCTCCCTGCGTTTCTGCTAGTGGGGCTTAGATGGAAGTGGGCATTTCTAATGTTATATCAGAGCCACTGTGGGGTGCAGAGTCTGGGCCCCCCTCCTACAGTCTTGATCCTGAAGGGGGGCTGACTGAGCCAGGTGGGACCATTCCCAGGGTGGACTTGGCCTGTGTTCAAAACTGCCCTAGTGAGGGGGGCTTCTCTGACCCCCAAGGCCACGCCCCAGGCCAGTAGTCATTCTTTTAAAAGCTCCGTGACCCTCCTGTGGGCTGAGACGCCCCGCCTTTACCCTGTGATGGCGACTACTTGCCTCACAGGGCTGCAGCCCGGCTCCCAGGCCAGGCCCCAAGGAATCAGGGCGACAGGATGGCCCAGTTGATGAGACGGTGACCCCTCTACACCTATCTGGACCACAGGAACCCAAGGCCATCCCCATCTCTAGATAGGACCCCATCCAGGAAATGGAGGATAACCAGGTGGTGGTGGAGAGCTGAAACATGGAGCTGGCGACCAGGTAGCAGGAGTCCCTGTGGAACGGGCCAGGGTAGCTTGGCCTTTGTCCTTCTGCCTGCTCCAGCCCGGATGCCAGCCTGGCTGTCCACCGCCAGCGCCCAGGCCAGCGCCCAGGCGGACGCACCCCGGGCGCACAGGAGCATTAGCGGACCGGCTGGGAGGGGGCGTGGGCGGCCAGCAGCGCCCCCTGCGGCTGTCATGGCGGCGGCACGGGCGGCGCGGGCGCCGCGATGGGGGCGCGCAGTGGGGGCTGGGCCCAGCTCGGGTCCGTGGCCGCGCCATCCTGCCGGGGGACTGGCGTTCCGATTTGCGAGGGAGGCGACAGCCCTTCGAGGACAGTTGCGAGCGCGGCGGTGGCGCACTGATGTTGGAGCGCGCGGCGGACATCTCCGGGTCACCCCACCCCCGGCTTCGGACCCCGTGCAGCTTGGAGCAGAGGTGCCGAGCGCACCCGGTGGCCAGGCGCCGTGGCTCAGTCCAGCCGGCTGCCCGCGCTGACCCCTGGGAGGAGGCGCGGGCGGCGCGCGCCCAACCGGGCGCTGGGAGGCGGCGCCCTCCGCCGCCTTTAAAGCCCCGGGAGCCCCCGGCACCCCCCCACCCGCGGCGCGGCCCCGCCCCCTCATGCATATGCAGGTACGCGGGTGACGAATGGGCGAGCGAGCTGTCAGTCTCGTCCCGAACTTGTTGGCTGCGGGCGCCGGGAGCGCGGGCGCGCAG